TGTTCCGGTGGCTGTCTGATTATGGCGACGTCTTTCCTTTCCAGATAATCGTTCCTTTCTTCCTCCTCCACTCTCTATCCCATTTCCCGCATCCTAAAGATTGCGTGGTGTTCTACTGTCTCCCTGTCTTGTTCATCCCGCAACTTTTTCTCCAGGGTCTTCAACACTTCTCAGTAGGTGAGTTAATCTGCTTAGCTCAACTCATCACTTGTGTGTGTGAGTGGGGGGAGGGGGGGGTTGTGTGGTTTTTGTTTGATTTTCTATTTGACCTGATCAGTTTGGCAAGTGGTTGAAGGGTGATACTGGTAAGTTCTACTTCTCTTTCTATCCCCCTGTTAGTTTTGTCTGTCTGTATTACTATTAATCTGCTCCGAATTACCTCTCTCTCTCTCTCTCTCTCTCTCTCTCTCTCTCTCTCTCTCTAGCACTGTGTGTTTAGTAACCTCACTTCAGTTGGTACAATCACTAAGTGCAAATCATAAGACATTTTTTTTTACTGTTTCCTGCCTTGTTCATGTAATGTCATGTCATGCTGACATTTCCCTGCTGCTAACTTTTTTCACTTTTCTTCCACGACAGAGACTACGGGCTTCTCATCAGCAATGGGGACGGCGCGGGGTATCCAGAGATCAAAGTTGCTACGGGCGAGAGTTCTGTGTTGAAAACAGCATTTGACCAGTGCTGTAATCTCCCCCCTATGACATGTAATCTGTTCTACCGACGGTACCCGACGTCCAACTGTTCCCTGTACGAGGCACCAAAGATTGGTAAGTAATCCATTGCAGCTCTTGTCTCAGCTGTGCCTATTGTTCTTTTAATTGTGCAAAAACGAGTGTCAGTACAAAATGAAACTGAAATTTTGCATAACCCTGGCATTGAACCTAATAAATTCATGCTCAAATGGACGATTTTTTTTCTAAGACAGCTGTGACATGAATAAAAACTCTTAAAACTCAGAAATTGGAGTTTGTAGAAGACAGCTCTAAGCTTGCGATATGCCATTTGTGAAATGTTCATACAATTTATTTCTGATGGAACTGTAGTGAATTACCTAGATGTTGGTCTCTGAACTCAGAGGTTGCTGGTTGAAATCCTGCTGTCTGATGTTGGTTTACACTTTGGACTTTCTTTTTTCGGGTTGTTTTTTTTTCAAAGTTCTGATGAAAGGGGTTGTATGAGACTCAGCCGTGTGAGGGGAAACTATTAAGACAGGGAGGGGAGTTGTGGAACTAATTTTAAAATTTTTATTTACATTTGAAATGTAGCTGAGAGAGAGAAGAGAGAAAGAGAGAGAGAGAGAGAGAGAGAGAGAGAGAGAGAGAGAGAGAGAGAGAGAGAGAGAGAGAGAGAGGGAGAGAGAGAGAGGGAGAGAGAGGGAGAGAAAGGGAGAGAGAGAGAAAGAGAGAGAGGGAGAGAGAGAGAGAGGGAGACACAGAGAGAGAGAGGGAGAGAGAGAGGGAGAGAGAGAGGGGGAGAGAGAGAGAGAGGGAGAGAGAGAGAGAGAGAGAGAGAGAGAGAGAGAGGGCGAGAGAGAGAGAGAGGGAGAGAGATGATTATGTGTACCTATATTCACTTGTTTTGCATGACCTTAACAGTTATTTTGTTGTGAGGTCAATACATTTTGTTCTCAATAGTCTAGTGCTTTTAAGGGTATATGTGAGGCAGCGTGGTGGAATCAGGCTCTCGTCAAAATTATCAAAGTGAAAAAACTTGCATTTTTCCGCAGGTTTGTGAATTTTTATCAATTTTTTTTGTTTTTGGCACAACACCTTTCATGCCCATTAAAGAATTCATTTCTGTGTGGATTTTTTCTGAAAAGCGTTGATTAAAGGCATAACGAATGTAAATCTTCAGTTACCTCGGACTCTTAAGCTAAGGAAATAACTAATCTTCGGCGGCCATTTTCTCACTAATTTTACCTCTGAAAACAGGTGACCCCCACCTCTTTTATTTGGAAATATCTCGACTTATATTCTAGATACATGGATATTTTTTTCATCCAAATAAAGACAACTGAACAGGCTTTAAGATGATAGCAATAACTCTACATGCCTCAAAATTGACGAGAGCCTGATTCCACTACGTTGCCTCACATATATTTCTCAAAGTGGACTCAGCTTCACTTTAACTCTTATTTCATCTTTTGTGACGTAATGAAGAAAACAAGTTTACTATTGTATTGTTGCTTGTTTTTGTATTGTTTTTGTTTGAGGGGGGGGGGAGGGTGCAGATTGATCTTTTGGTTGTTTGGTCGATAGTTGTGTTTGCTTTTGTTTACAGATAACTTACTTATCTATGAGTGAATGCACTTCGGGCTTTGGAATCTTTGTGCATGTGTGTGTGTGTGTGTGTTTATGTAGATTATGAATGCACACTGGTGTCTTTAATTTTCATTTCAATCTTGCTTCTTTTATGTTTTCAGGCGCAGGTTTTGGTGACCCCCACCTCGAGACATTCGATGGTAACAAATTCACATTCAATGGCTGGGGAGACTTCACAGTGTTCACACTGGAAGGCGCAAAGTATGTATGAGGCAGCGTGGTGAAACCAGACGCTTGTCAAAATGATGTAATCAAAGAAACAGGCATATTTCTAGCTGTTGGACAATTTTTTTCGTCTTCTGTTTTTGTTGGGGGGGGGGGTTTGGTTTTGGGGGGGGGGTGTGTGGGGGGGGGGGGGGCTCAACACCTTCTATGTCCATTTGAAGAACACATTTCTCTGAGAATTGTACTGAAAAACGTTGATAAAAGGCACACTAAATGTAAATTTGCCATTTCCACGGAAGTCACCAAACTTGAGCAGCCATTTTCTCGCAAATTTTACCCGTGACACCAGGCAACCCCCACCTCCTTCAATCGCAAATACCTTGATTTGTATTCACAATAGAGTAGGTATTTTTTAAAGTCAAATGGTAGACAAATAAACAAGCCTTGAAACTGTAAAAATAACTCCTTATGCCCAAAAGTAATGAGCACCAGATTCCATGCCACCACGTCGTGACACTTATTGATTATCTCAATAGTTGTTTGGTTGGTTTTTTTCTTTCATTATCAATTATTATTTAACAGTATCACTTTTCTGGAAATTATCCAGCTTGTAGGATATTGTGCCGTTCTCAAACATAATGATATGGGGCGCAGCTGGCTAGGGGTGGAGAAGAGTTCCTAGAACAGAGACTTGTGGTGCGCAATTCTTGGAAGCCTTCGTCCAATTCCAAGGTGAAAGAGGTAGATGAGATGATGAGGCTCTCTCAGTCGTAGCTTTTCATTTTTGTATTACCCTGATTCTTAAAAATTATTTCAAAATTGATTCTGCCCATTACATATTCACAATTTCTTCATGATATTCTTTATTATTTCCCCAGTAATGTAAACATCCAACTGCAAGGCCGGACAGACAAGACTAATGGCCAGAACTCGACTTTCTTCACAGCCTACGCTTTCAGGGTAAGCTGGGGAATGTTAGTAATAGCACCAGGGCAGTCGGGGTTTCTTTTGGAGAAATTTCTAGAGAAATTAAAGGATCATTTTTGAAAAAACACTTTATGTCTAATATTTGAAAAGAAATGTGATACCAGCATTTTATCTCCAAAGTCTTACATTTTTTTCAAAATGGCACATTATTGTTATATGTTCTCAGTACTTTTCATGAACACATGTGAGGCGTGCTGACAAAATGAGTGACTTCTCGCAATGCACGAACGGAGATATTAGCCAAAAATCTACAATAGAGTCACATTTGTAGATTTTTTTTTCATTGATGCCACGTTCTTTAACTAAAACATGTCTTTTATTATTTCATACTTGGAAATTGTAGAAACTTCACCTTTTAGCGTGATGTATCGATTTCCTTAACTTAAGGCTTGAAACCGAGAAGTAACTCATTTTGCCAGCACGCTTCACACATGGTCTTCTCCAATAGAGGTTAAAAGACCCTAGTTTTCCCTGTGGTTTACCTTCATGTGTTTTTGTATCCAGAAGGAATGTTTCTCTTTTTGGGTTAGTTTTATTTTTTCAGTCAAGGTAGAGTAACGACGAAAATGCAATTTAGGTCATTTTAAAATCTACGAACTCAGTCCTGCTTTTGTGCACAGTACTACTTCATAATTGCAAAGCTCTATCTGTTCAGTACGTTGTTTCGATAAATTTGAAGTAAAAAATTAATTTAGAGTTTCACAACATGTCAAGCTTTTTCAAACACAATTCTTTAAATAGTGTGATAACGACTGAATAATCTTCAATTTTGATCGAGGTAATAAATCGTTAGGTTTCTGACCTGATGGTCGTAGTAACTCAAAAACGGTCAAAAATGTCAGATAGAACTTTGTAACTCTAAAGTAGCCACTAATGCACAGACCTATTGTGCAGGGATGAGGCAGGAGAGAATTGTTGTCGTAGAGAGATGAAAGAAACTCCATGCCCAGTTCTTTTCTTTACCCGGAATTGCTATGTTTTAGACAAAGTCATGCCCACCTTCATTAATTTGAGAATAAACATCATCTTTTTTTCTGGTCTTTGATATTGATATTCCCTTTCAAAAAGCTGATTCAATTTTTTTTCTTCAAAAAGCTGATTCAATTTTTTTTCTTCAAAAAGCTGACTCAATTTTTCACGTCTTCTTTAAAAAGTTGACTAACTGTCCTCGACTAGGTAGAATTTTGTCTCTTATGATAGAACAACCAGCACAAGGTTCTTTTGAATCTCGCCACGGCCTTTTTACTCTTCCCTTGTAATTTCTTTCTACTGACAGCTTTATTGTGACATGTTGGTGAGCGCCGCTGATAGCTCCTGCTTATTGTCTCTCCCTCTGACAGCAACTTGCCGTATTATTTGTATGGTCTCAAAACCGATGTTTTCTTTTTGTGCTGCTTGTAGGAGCTTAACCATTGCACACTGAAGACCCGAGTGCAATTTCTGTGTGGGATGAATTCTTATTCAGTATCTCAATCTTTCTACTTGGATGTTGTATCTTTCCCAGCCCATGTTGGCCCTGATAGACGACTCCCAAATGATCTACATTCTGTTGATGGGGGCGAAAAAACAACCCCCCCCCCCCCCCCCAATTTATTTTTTTTATTAAAAAAAATTGTCCGTAATTTTCACTGTGTCAGTCTCTGGTCAATACAAAAAGACATAGTGGTAAAGTTCCTTTTTCCTGTAACAGATCTGGTGTCCTAGTTTAATAGATAAGGCTTTGAGACTGGCAATCAAAAGGTTGTTGGTTCTATTCCTTACTTTAGTGGATAGGAACATGAACAGTGAGGACCCCGGAGATTGGCATCTTGCTCCGATTTCCTCAGTTCATTTAGCATGGACTTGCAAGTGTGTAAGGATGAGGTATGGTAATGCTTACATTTTGCAACTTACTCACTGGAACACTATATATTACTTCCAGGTAAACTGAAATAATTCGTCAAACCTCGTTAGTTTGTTTGGATCCGTAAGAGCATTTTGTAACATTGGGTGCATTATTGTAAGTTCTGACCTTTATCTTTTTCAGATGTCTCCAGATTCTGATACTTACTATTTCAAGATGTTAGAAGGGACAGGAGCAAAGACGATTAAAGGTCTCTGGAAGAATGACACCAACCTTTTAAGTTCTGACAACTATGACATTGACATTGAGAAAGAAAAAATCATTTTTGACACCAGTGCAGGAGTTTCTGTTACAGTGAGTGTTTTGTTCTCTTGTTAGTTAGGTTTCTTTTTAAAGCAGGGACTTATACCCTTACCAGGTTAACGTGTGGCCTAGATATACTGTGCCTTGTTCACTTGCATTGTCAACATCATTTCATTCAGGTTCAAGTTTGTGCCAGTTTGGTGAGATTTAAGATGTTTTTGTCTCTTGTTTTCCTTGTGTACCTTTTCTTACAGTACAATGATCAAACAGTACATCTTTTTCGGAATTGCATGAAAATCTTATCAAAGGTAGCATAATATAGTGTTCATTGCATCCAGGAGAGGTGAACTTTTTTTTTTCCTTAATAGCGATTAAAAGTTGAAGAAGAATCAAATATTCCAAAAGTTGCCCCTCTTCTTTTTTTGGTATTTTCACTGAATATATTCCTCCCATTTTCCATTCACATGCAAAGCATTGCTAGATAGAGTGGGTGGTTGGCATGTGCTCAAATGTGGTTTGCTCCTTTGTTCCTATCGAACATCTATCATCCTTTTCTCTCCGGCTTCCTTCCTTTGTATGTTACTCTTTCGTAACTTATCTAATGATCAGTATTTTAGTTTTAGTACAGGGTTTTACGAAACTCTTTCTGAAACTAAACTTCAATATTGTAAGAGGTAGAAGGGTATCACTGAAGGTCCGACCTCTCTTCCTGCCCTCTACTGTTTCTGTGTTTCTCTCTTGTTTTTTCCCTAGTAGTAAGTGGTCAGGGTGCTCCGTTAGCTCAGTTGGTATCATGCTGGACTATGGAGCTGATGACCCTGATTCGAATCCTTGGCTGGGCATTCTAGAATTCGTGCTGTTTTCAAGACTTTTATATCAATTGACTTGGTATTATTGGAAACGTTACATTAGAGGTTCCGTCTCTTAAATCACGTAATAGTGTTGATCTTTTTTTTTACTAACTGGTCTTAGCTGTATATGTGCTGCTCTTTAACTGAGACTAAACTGTGAAACCTTGTGCTGTTGTATATAGCCTATGTGCTACTCTTCACAGAGACTAAACTAATGAAACCTTGTACTTTATCCGTCCATTGTCAGATGTTCACAACTGAACAAGAACGGAAATACCCCCCCCCCCCCTGGGCAGTGCAATTGACTGAAATGCCTTTAGGCCATTCCCAAGGGGGGACATAAACATGTTCTTATGCACAGTAGAATTGTAAATGGGCTGATTCATCAGTGTCATGCTTATAACTGTGCCTGAACTGCAACAGGGAACTGCCGCTTTTTCTCTCCTCATCCTTGCTATCGTCATTTTTCCTCTACTACTTTTGTATGTTTGTCACACTCTTGTGGCCCGCTATTTCTGGGATGCCTTGATATTCCAAGCAGACTCTGTGCTGTTGAAACTAGAGAGGTGAGCAGAGTAAGCCTGATTCTTTGTAAGAACTTCTCTGTTGACAACCACCCCTTCGTGCTCACATGACCTTATTCAGTTGCGAGCATCGTAAAACCTCTACAAAAACTAAGAAACTAAACAAGAACGGAATGGCAAAGGAACCCATAGTCCTGCTGCACCTTTTATGAACCAGTGAACACAGTAATGAGTGAAAATGCTTTCTGTCTCTGGAAAATTTCACCATTAAAAGTTCTAAATGGAGCTTATTTGGTTCATTATGTTTAAAGTGTTTCTTTTGATCTGCTTCAATACGTGTCTTGTATAATTTGGTAAATTTAGATCTCAAATTGTTCATTGTTTAGCAGATGGTTGAGGGTCACCACTGGTGGGTCGGAGTTTGTTGGGGGGGGGGGGTTTTCTCCTGTCTATTTCTTCTGCCCGTCTATCATCCTTTTTCTTTGCACTTAATGACTATTATAGTGTTGATATTTTTCTCTGTACCCAAATATAAACATGTTTCTGTTGTGATGTCAAAGTTTACTTGTGATAAATCTGGCATGCATATGTTTGTAAATTTATTTAATGAAAAGCAAGTTGTTCTTTTATCATTCTTGCCATGTTTCTTCGTGAGTAATAATATGTCATTTTAATCACCTCGCAGATTACACTCCAAGGTGACCACTTGATGCACACGGTCATAGTACAGTCTGGACTTGGATATACCACCAAGGGGCTCATGGGAACTCTCAACGGAAATAAAGCTGACGACTTCCTGTACAGTAGTGGCACCTCTAAGCAAGGCGCAGTGGAAAATCTGAGCGGCGAAGACATTAACAGTTTTGCTAAGTCATGTACGTGCATGAAGATTAGTCTCTCCTGACCTTCCTTCCATATAATATATGTCCTTTATTTAGCAAAATTGTAATGAGAAGCACTACTCATGCATAGATTATTGTGTGTTTGGCAGTTTACTTTTGATGCACTTTGTCTTTTTCTGCATAGTTTACAGACACGTCATAGTTGTTTAGAAGGTGCATAATGAAGATATTAAAATTATTGCAATAAAATAAGAGTCTAACAAATTAAATGCACTACCCTCTTTGCAGCTTTATATAGAAAATATGTTTCTATTGTGAAAAAATTTGGTAGTAATATCTAGAAAAAGAAATGCTAAAAGTTAATTGGGACAAAATTAAAACGTCTTTTGAGCATTTAGTAAACATTGCAAAGTGTGGGGGGTAGCGAGTGTCTTTAAGCAAAGATCTATTTCTTCAGTCAAGACATAATCAGGAAGATTTTGTCTCTTGCGAACAGTTATTGAATTTTCCCTTTCTATTAAAGTTCGAATTGGACATCAAAATCACCTTGTAAAATTTTTGTGTTCAAGGGAAAAACTATCAATATTATGTCTTTTATGGTAAAAACTGAGAACGTAGCAATGCTTTCTGACAGAGCAAATAATTCCTAATCATTTTTTTAATGATCTTGCTTAAATTTTTCAAACATCTTGAACACTTTGATATATAAGAGTTTTTGTTCGATAAGATGTGAAGATGTGCAATGGAGTAATACGATGTTAACGTTTGGTTGTTTTTTGTTTTGTTTGTTTTTTTGCTGGGTTTTTTTTCAATTTTAATTACATTTAAGATATGTGTGGCATCATGTTGAAACCAGGCACTCATTAAAATAATGAAATCCCAATAAACTGATATGTTTCTGACTGTAGGGCAATTTTTATCAGTTGCTTTTTTTTAAAATTCAAAACCTGTTATGTCCTTTAAAAAAAACTTTTCTGCGTGGATTTTATTGAAAAGCTTTGATAAAAGGCATAACAAAATGTAAATTTGCAGCTTTAAAGAACACTGAAGTTTTGGAAGTAACCAAACTGGCCATTTAGTTGTCTATTTGACCTCCGACACGGGGCGACACCCCCCCCCCCCTTAAATTGTAGAATACTTCAACTTCCGCTTAAGATAGATGGATGTTTTTTCATCAAAAGCAAGATGCCCAAAAGTTGATGAGTACGTGATTCCACCATGTCATGACGCTTATATTTATAATTCAAAATGTGTTTCACCCTTCCCACATAATACTGCTGGCCTATCATGTTTAGAAATTTGGCAGATACTCAGTGATTACAAGATCTACATTTTGCTTCCCAAACAATTTTCTCCACACTCGTTGAGTCGTAGGGAAAAACATGGTCTGCCAACATTTGGTTGAGTTTCACTCACAAACACGCAACTACTCTCAACAATTTGTCACACTCTCTTTGAAACCAACAACCCTCTTCACTGCATAACCAGAGAATGGGGGGGGGGGCTTTTACAACAACAAAAATACCATAATTGGCATGGCTGGAAAGGGTTAACAGTCACATTTAATATTGTTTCTTTCTTTCTTTTTTTTTCTAAAGTTTTCTATGGTAGATCAATGAAAATAGTTTTTCATAATAAATAAATAAGCTGTCTTGACATACCACCCGCAGGGCGTGTGAAGGAAGCAGACAGTCTGTTTAATTATTCTTCCCCGAATCTTTCGTACGATGATGTCAACAAACATGAAAACTTTGAGCTTCCAGTCCTCGCCACTTCTGTAGCTGCTGTGCTGGGAGCTTTTAGTGAGGACAGTGTCAAGGCCGTGGTGAGTAAACTGACTGAAATAAAATGTTATCTCCCTCTCTCCCTCTGTGTGTGTGTGTCTCCGTCTCTCTCTCTCTCTCTCTCTCTCTCTCTCTCTCTCT